CAACAACAACAACAACAACAACAAAAAAACAGATATATATCATTAGTATCTTAAATCTGCTTTTACGACAACAGTTTAATAGTCTAAAAAGTGAACTGAAACCAAAACCTAACACTTCGATTCATAAAAGATATTTCCCGTTTGTCAAAATCCGTGATTAAGTACGCATTTTGACAGAAATCTGACTCATTTGCACAAATCATGGATTCTTAGCATGACTTGTAAGTTGTATAACACCGCTTAGTATGCAAATACAGCAAATGAAAGTGACACTGATGATAAATGATAACAGGCTTTGATCGAATACATGATAAAAAGACATTAAAGACGCATTATTTTGACATTTTCAAGAAACACTTTCCTCTCAATAAAACAGTGACAATGTAGCTATCTGATGTCATGCACGATCAAAGAAGTGAAATTTACCTCCGTCCAGAAATTGTTCTTTAAAATACACATCTGCATGCGCAGTGAAAGCCAGTGCATATATAAAGCACACTACAGCAGCGATCCGCATCTCTGCACTGTTAAAGGATCTATATTAGATGAAGATCCCGATATAATAATGAATGGCGCTGGAGCTAATGGTCAGTGAAATATGGCTCGGCTGTGTTCCTGCACAGATGGCTGAGAACCATTGGCCGGACGCGCAGCCAATCAGAAGAGACCACGAGTGAGGAGTCAGCGCCGTGGGCGGGGCTTCGGCGAAGCACGTGACGTGAACGCTAAGGAAGTGTGTAGAAATAAAAACAAGTATAGTGAGATTCTTGTCGCGATGGTAAACTAGAAAAATGACGTTGTTAAATGTAAAGGACGTTAATGTGATCATATTAACGTGTGTGTGTTTAGCTTAGATATATGCTGCTTACAATTGTATTATTTAATAGCCTAATAATAATCCAATAATTAAAAATAGTAGGCTAATTATGCTCTAGATTATGTATTTGTGGTTTTCTCCAAAACAAAACCGTGCAGAAGTACAAAAAAAATAATTTTGTAATTATTTAAAAAATAAAAACAATGTTTTAGCGTAAAAAAGAATATGGTCTTGCAATAATTTTTTAAGACATAAAAAAATTTAAAGATATGTGGCACATTGCTGAACTCAAAATTCAAGCACTACATAGCTAATAAATGTAATAATATAGACTAAGACTCGAACCTCGGAGTGAGAAAACTTTATTGCTACTACTACTATTATTGCAGATACAAAAACTAATGGATAGTGGTAGCAGTCACAAGTCAAGGAAATATTAGAAATATATCTGAGGGAAATATTAAGTCTTTCAAACTGAATTAAAAAAAAAGGATTTATGCATGCATTTATGTTCAGCCAGTAGAGGAGGTTTATTATTAGTAAAGAAGTCTGATCTGTACAATAATAAACACTATTTTGCAATGCAAAGGTAAGCTAATTTCGGTGAATGCACGAGACTGACAATTCGTTCGCCGCTGGAAGCCGATAGAACTATTTGCTCTACAAACCAGTGTGTTTATAAGTACAGCAATACATTAAAATAACACAAGAAATGGCAGTTTAGAACATCAGGCAGCATAACGAGCTGTTTTGTACCGCTAATTATAACTGGAAGCTAATGACATCATTCAAGTTACAAATGGCAGCGCCCGATTACGTTAAAATAAGGTAAATACGACAGGTATATTTTTAAGTCCTTTAAATCCCCCAGTACAAATATGAATGATCGTATTAAGAAAAAATTTAAATATAGATGAATAATGATAAAAAAAAAACATGTTAAACTAAATCTAATGTGAGCAAAGCAATTTTTAGCTACATCAGTATGCTACCAGCAGATGACTATATAAAGCCTTGAAAAATAAATGAATACATGATAAAAAAAGATAAATAACATTAGGCTTCTGATGTGTGAATCTGTGCTTGATCTTGTTGAGCTCTTCTGAATCTGATGTCATAAACCAGAAGAATGACAGTAGCCACGCCCACCAGAGCAGAGAGGACCAATCGGATCACAGCTTCAGTAGAACCACAACAGTGGACAGAGTCTGAGGAATAAAAACATCAAACTGAGATCAGCTCAGTCAATAAACGCTATTATCAGCGCCGACATCAACTAATATCAGCTCTGCTGTACCTAAACATATGTGACAGAGTTGAGTGATGTCCAGATGTTGAGTCTGGTTGCTGATGGGATTGTTGAGCACACAACTGTAGCTGTTTTTAACCTGATATTCCACCTCCAGAGGTAGAGGGAGACTGATGCTGAGATCAGACACACTGATGCTGGACAATAAACTGTTTCCTTTGTACCAGGAGAGAGTCACATGACCCACATTCACCACTGAACACACCAATGAACAATATGATGATGATGATCTTACTTTTTGGAAGTAAGATGGCGCTGCACACGGCCGCCCCAGTGCTTGGCTCTCCAGTGTTTGTACTGTTTTTGTTCGTTTTTCCTGTTTTTTGTTTCTCA